AACCTCAGCCAGGGCGGCTACGAGGAGCTGGAGCGCGTCGTGCTGCGCCTCAAGCCGCACAAGGCCGGCGTGCAGTGGCGCTTCGCCGGCTCCTTCTACTTCGCCATCACCGTCATCACCACCATCGGTAACTCCTCGCGGGGCAGGGGGCGGGGACCCGGGGCGAGCGTTCCGGAGCCCACCGGGGCGGGGGTCCCCCGGTGGAGGGTCTAGGCGCCGAACCCACCCAGTGCTGCCGGAGCCCCGAGTTCAGCCTGGCGTGTCTGCTCCGCCGGCACAGGACTTGGGGGAGGCGTCGGTTCCTGGCTCTGGACCCGACTCTCCAGCGGGGCCAGCCCCAACTTGTCCCTGCCAGGCTGCGCGGGGCCCCGGGGGACTCCGAAGTGTGTGAGAGGAGCAGGAACCAGACCGGCGGAGGCTGGGGAGGAGGGGTGTGGCCCGGCCAGGCCGTGGAACCGGGCGCTCAGTGCCCGCCGCTGGGAGCGTGCGACTCCTCCCTGTCCCTGCAGATGGGCTGGGGCTCCAGGGACACGTGTGGATGCAGGTCCTCGGCACTCCGGGGACTCTGGGCCACTCTGGGTTCTTGAAACACCCTGTACCTGCGGGCTGTGGGTGCCTCCGTGTGTGTGTGTGTGTGTGTGTGTGTGTGTGTGTGTGGCGCGCGCGTGTGGGTGGGTGTGTGTGTCCAGTTCCGAGAGTTTGTGCCTTTAATGCTGTTGGGGTGGCAGAACTGGTTCTGGAAGCCAGATGCAGCCTTGTCTGCCTTCTTCCCTGCTGTCCCAGGGAACAGTCACCTCACAGGAATGGCCCCAGTGCCCCTCTCCAGGCCACGGCCACCGCAGCACAGGAAGCTACACACGCACCTAGGTGCTCTCACAACACAGGCACGGGCGCACAAACAGGTACACACGTGAGCACACACAGGCACACACAGGCACAGACACACAGCACACAGCAGACGTCCAGGAAAGAACTCTCCAGTGAGGTCCTTGATATGCTGTTCAAAAGTGTCCAGACGGGAGTAAACACCTTGCCCACTCCCAAGACTCTATGAACCCAGCCAGCGCCTCACTTCTGCCCCTGCATGACCTTGGGCAAGTCCCTTCCCCGGCCTGGGTCTCGGGCTCCCCTCCAGACAACCAGAGCTTGACTGCAATGATCTCAAGGACTCCTCCCAGTCCTGACGTGCTCCCACCCACCTTCCTCCAAAGCCCCCTGGGAAGCCACCAGGGGCTGTTGCTTCCGCCTCGCCTATCTCCTCTCCTCCCCCGGGTTCCCTCCTTGCCTTGGCTGGACTCCCAGGGGCTCCTTGCCACTTGGCATGGCCCGTGGCAAGATGGCAGTGTTTTCCCAGGAGTCCCGAGGGTGAAAGGCAGGGCTCGAGGCTGTCCCTGCCGTCCGTCTGTCTGTCCGCTGCTGGACTCTGTGGGAGGCTCCACGTCTCTCTGGGGGCCACAGGGAGCTATGCAGGGTAGTTCTTGGATTCCTCTCTTGGAAGAGGAAAAAAGGAGCCACAAGTAGATGTGGCCCCAGTGGGGATCCCTCTCGGTTCTGCTGACCCTGTGAGTGTAGAGCAGGATGACCAGACTCAGGCCCTGCCCAACGGTCAGGTTTGCTTTCCCGGGAAGGACCAGACCGGTCCTCCCTTCCCACTCGGCCACCGCCCTGCCACCTGCCAGGGTTTCAGGAGCAGCAGACATTCTCAGGCCTCCCTGCTCCCTCATCCCACACATCATGCCCCTGGTCATGTGCCCCCTCTCTTTCTCAGTCCCAGGTACCAGCTGCCCGGCTCCTCAGTAACCCCCCAATCGACCCCTTGCCTCCAGCCTCATCCCCCACGGGGTGAGTTCCCCTGGACAGTGCTGCCAGAAAGACTCTCCTCAAAGCACAGCTCTGACCGCACCAGCACGCTACTCAGAAGCCCGCGATGGTCCCCCTACGCATGGAATCCAGTCCATGCGCCTTATCTCAGTTTCACGGTCCTTTATACCTGGCTGCGATCTCTGTGTCCAACTTCATTTCTCACTTCATACTGACGTGATCCCTCCACTGCAGCCAAACTGTTCCCTAAGAACACCTGAAGTGTGGCTGTCTGACGCGCCTTTTTCTCTGCCTTCTATTTATCTAGTCCAAGCTAACCTTCCAGGTCCGGCTCAAACCCCACTTCCTCCTTAAAGTCTCTAAGAACATCCCAAGCCATGGCTCTGGGCAATTGCAAGACGTATTGTCAGGATGACGCGGGTGACACTGGAGGCTCTTTTGCCTGGCTATTTAAATGTTAGGGGCTGTGTTTGGTCTCGTTAACCACACTGTCATCAACCTGCACGTGGGCAGGGCCTTGCGGTCCCCACCACCGTGCTCCCCGTGCTGGCACAGTACCCAGAGGCACCCGTGAGCACGGAGAAGGCGACTGGTGGGTTTCAGGTGTGCAGAAATGAAAAGGCATCATCTTTTCCCTCCACCCCTGCCATCTCCCCAAGTGTTTGTCGTCCTCACCAAGAGAGATGCTAAAGGCTGGAGGTAGAGACAGATAGAGTGTGATTCTGGTGATTATTTATTTATAATGTGCCGGGCAAGAGGAAAGACAGCGTCAAAGCACCACCCTAGTGTTGTGGGGGGCCCCAGACTGGCACTGCCCACTCCCTGCCTCCCCCAACCACCCCTGGCTTTTTGTCACCTTTCACCCCGGCTATGCCACCTGCCTGGAAGCTGTCCACAGGAGCTCAACTCTAAGAAAAACCTGTCTGGGCTGTGATCAATGCCTGGAAGGGGCTTTATATTAGACTAATTGACCGAAAACCCAAAGGCAGCAGCCTCTGTCCATCTGACCCCTTTGGGGATCCAATGGATCTCCTGAGGCACCAGTAATCCCATCGGGGTAGGATAATGACAGAACCTCCCATTCATTCAGCACCTTAATGAGCACAGTGCACTTTCATCTCAGCCTTCATAGCTCAGAGACGTTTCCAGGGCAGGTATTGTTAGCTCCATTGCACAGATGAGGGCATGGAGGCTCAGGGCGGGGAAGGGACTGCCCCAGAGTAATGCAGCTGGTGAGCAGCGAGTTAGAGCAAGAAGCTGGGTCTTCTGACTCCAAGTCTAGTGCTCTTTCCCCTGCTGGCCTCTTTGCTGCTTCCTCTGCTCCATAGGCTGTGAAGCCCAGAGCCGGCCAGGATCAGCATGACCAAGATGTGCTCAGTGATGCCAGTTTGCTGGGCACCCACCATGGGCAGCCTTGATTGGTTGAGGGTCAGCATTAGTCATTCACCTGGTTAGTCACAGTCTCTGCTGGCTGCAAGGATTCCTCAACTCCCATCTCTGGCCTCCTAGCCAAGAAACCCTTCCTTTCTTGGGCCTTAAGTTCATCATATGCAAACAGAAACTGGGAAGTTTAACCTCTCTAGCTATTGAGTCATTAAACTCCTCCGGGGCCCCAGCCCCATCTATTCATAGCCGGAGGCTGTCAGAGCAGGAAGGGGCCTGGAGATCAGCTAGTGCCCCCCTCCTCTGACAGAGGTGATGGGCGCCACACAGCCAGAGGGTAGCGAAGCCTGCCTCCCAGGCCCCACCTTGTTCAGGACGCCTCTTTATTTAGTATTATTATTAACAGCAACAATAATAATAGTAGCCACCATTTAATACCTACTCTTTGGCAGGCCCTATCCAAAACTCTTTCTTTCTATCCCCTCAATTCATTCCCTCACCTACCCTTCAAGATGGGCACTATTACCTACATTTTTTCAGGAGAGGAACCGAAGGCTCTGGGTGTAAAGGACTCACCCACCGCCTTGTGACTTGAAAGGAGGCACCTGCCCAGATGCAGCTGAGCCCCTCTGACTCCCATGCCCTGGATGTCTTGCCAGTTCTTTCTCCACTTCAAGAACTCAGCCCAGACCCTGTATCTCGAGGGCACCGAGCAGCCACAGCTTGTCTTTCCCCCAACAAAGCCCTCTCCAGCCGGCTGCTTCCCCGCATCCTTTCCCCAACCACGTGCTAGAGCTGTGCCCAGCACCAGGCCTATCTGAGGCTGCCACAGGCTCACAGGTGCCTGTTCTCCCACTGCAGGTCCCAGAGTCCGTGTGGCTCTAAGGCAACATGAGGCCAGATGATGATTAGCTGAGGGGCTGGAGCAGAAACGCTTCTGTCCTGCTCTTTCCTCAGCCTCCAGCCTGTTCTCAGCTGAGCACAGGTCCCATGGCCTGGGTTAGGTTATGAATTCAAGCCGGCCGCTCACTTGTTCCATCTTTCCAAGGAGGAGGAAAGTACAGAAGTGACCTGCCATCCCCAAATCCCAAAGTCCTCAAGCAAAAGAGTGAAAGGAAACGTTAGCAATCCTCCAAACACCCGAGAGGTCAGTGACTTGCCCAAGGTCATACAGTAAGTGGAAGGTACAACCCTGAGTAGAACCTGCACCTTTGGGCACCCAGACTGAAGTTCCCTCCATCACCCCAGCCTGTTCCCCTCATGACCCCACCATCTCTCTTAGCACTGGACCCCAGCTGCTTATCACTCCACTGTTCCCAGTCCTCTCTTGACTTCCCAGGGGGATGGAAGGGCAGCCCAGCTGGCAACAGTCCCACTGCCCACTCTCAGTTGGCATTTCCTTCCTCCCTGCCCAGAGGCCACTCCTCGGCTTCAACCACACAAGCCTTTGCTGAGGGTGGTGTAGAAATGCAGGTACTGGCTTAAAAGCCATCGTGCCAGGGTTCATCTCTCAAACCACCCCTCCACTAACTCCCCCCAAACCCCGCCACCAGCTGTATGATCTTGAACAAATTACTTAGTCTCTCTGAGCTTGTTTTGTCATCTATGAAATGGGAGGATAATATCTGCCTCCCAAGATGAAATGGGAGGATATAAAGAAAGTGCCCGGTTCAGAGTAGGCACTTAATAAACAGTATCTGCAACTATTGGTGCTATTAGTATTATTGTCTGTGTATTATTACTTCCCCCACAGCGAGAACTGCTATTCCCCAAGGACTTCTGTGGCCACAGCTACCTCTGCTCCTTGCTAACATGTGGGGACAGTAGGGCTGAAAACCAGAGGCTGCTGCCCACTTCCCTTTATCCTCCCAGTCCTACTCCCCCATCCCAGGCTTCCATGGTTATCACCTATGCCTGGAGCCC